AGTGTCCTGCCCTATTTGACCCTATTGACCCTCCCCCATCAATGTCAGAAATGTTGGGCATTTTTTTTTTTTTTTTTTTTTGACCACCCAGCCGAATCACTAGGCTCACAGCCCTGCTGCTCTCTCTGTGCCTAACCTGTCATTACCATTCAGATTGTCTGCTCAGTCCCATGCAGGTGTGCCAATTGTGATATTCCATGACATATTTTATAGGAATCTGAGGTTGCAGTTCTCAGATTCAAACTTAGCTTCACTCTATCGAGCCAGACACGAACACACCCAAAGAGATTTTTTTCCCTCTTCTTATTCCAAGCTCGTTGTTTGCTCTGCTCCCCTCGCCTCTTCTCAAGATGTCTCAGCATCTCTCCCAATATCTCTTCCCTCTAACTGAACCACCCCATCTTCTACCACATCCTCTCCTTCACCCCCCTCTTCCTCTACTTCTTGGACATCTATCCCCTCTTCTCTCCTCATAAGAAAACACTGTCTCAACCCATCCACTCTCCCCAACAGCAACCTTCTTAACCCCTTGCCGCCCGGTGACGGCGATATGCGTGTAAACAATCGCCGAAAGGTGGCGGCGGCCAACCAGCCGGCGGCGGCGGCCAAAAGCGCGCGAGCAGTGATCGGGCTGACGCCCTGTACTCCTGCGCTCAAAGTCGGCGCGCCGCCTTTGTTTGCCGAGCGTAGAGTTTATTTTCCTTTTGTACACCACCGGCGTCATTGGTTTAAATGATCCAAGAGGATGCTCCCTCATCCTCCCTTCAATCTCTCTATAAAAACCTATTTCCCTTTACATTCAAAGTAATTGCTGTATCCATCTCCTCCTCGTCAAGTTCCCCTACCCTCTTCCTCCCACTCTCTCCCAGCTCACTTCATCCTCCCCTTCTTCATGTACATTCTGAATCCTCACATGACTCCCTTATGTTGCAACAGTTTCCTTCTCTGTATCATACCCCTCCTGACCATTTTTTTCCTGTTACGTCACCACGTCCTTGTTCCCTATTACATTCCCTGGATTTATCTCCTACTTCCAACTACATTTCTACCTTATGTCCTGGTGATTGTTTTCGCATAATTGCTCTTTTGCGTTATCTTCATACAGTGTTCCTCTCCTTCCTTAGACACCGACAGTTCTCTCATCTGATTGAATTGTCCTGTGCCTCAACCCGTTCCCTGCTGTACTCCATTTGCTCACCCCCTCTTTACCCTTTTTCACTACCACAATTGCTATAATCTTGACATCTAACACTTTTATCCTAGTTTTGAACACATTTTAACCTTTTTGCACAATGCTTTACCATAGTGCTATATGCCCTTTAATGGCTAGCAAATTTATTTGTTTTTTAATCATAACATCTGCCACCTTTGCACATCTAAAACATTTTATCTTAATCATTTACTAATTTTTAGTGCTATATAACCCTTGATGTCTAGCACATGTATTTATTTTAAACTTTAACATTTATCAGCGGCATTGGGTTCATTCATGTGGTAGGATTTTTGCCAGGAGTACCATTCCTTTTTATATAAACATCAGAAGAATTTGTGGCAGAAAGATGCAAGTTGCATTTTAATTTTACCACAAGTGTAACTTCTGCAATGGATCAAAGCTAGCAAAAAACTCTCAATCATTGCCCCATCCCATCTGTTTATACAAAGAATAGTATGATATGATAGAGAAGTAAAGATAGATATGGATTTTTTATCATTAACTGATCAGTGGTAGTAGTTTAGAGGCATACTTGAAATGCAGATCACCATTAGTTAAACAGTAAATATACTGTTTAATTCTTTACATTCCTCTTCAAAAAATTACTTGATATTGAAAAGGTAATTATTAAAGACTTTACGTTGACTAATGCTATGGATCTTTATTCTTTCAGTCAGAAAGGAATTCTAGATGACATTAATAAACATTTAAACGTTGTTCTTTCCAGAGAGTCACGAAGCACCGAGAGGCGAGAAACACCCACCTAAGATGAATGTACCTCACAAAGGAAGAATATGTTCTTCAGCACTTGTTGCATTTTCAGCAAGTTTGGATATGCTATTGCAGGCAGGTCTAGTTCAGGTAGGAGCGGAAGTTCATTTATATCTGTAATGTAGGTATACAAACACTCTTGCCACCTAAGAAAAAAATTCCCGTTTTGATTCTGCATTTACCCAAGGAAGTAGGTAGAAAATAATATGGGACCATTTATGGATATTTTGAGTAAGAATTACTGCTTTTACTTTACAATTTTATTTATCTTATTATTGATTATTGATTATCTCAAATACAATGAGACATCACTTCTTAGTAGTTATTTAGTCATTTCTGATATTTCTATATAGCCTTTGAGGCATATTTCATTTAGATAATGTATATTGATTAACATTTAACATTCCATTGTGATTTGGTTACAAAGTAACAGTATCATATCAACCAACAGGTGGACATGGGAGAGCCACCGGCCAGAAAGAAGAGGAGTATGACTAGAGTACGAAGAATATGATAGTTCAGGATCAAATGATAGTTAGAATAATAATATACTATGTAGTGGGATATGAGAGTTAAATTTCTTTACAGCATATCTAGTCATCAATGTCAATACAAGTGTTACATCTGGTAGTAATAAATGTATCACCTTAAAACCAGTAACATTAAAAAAGAATGCTGATGCTAGTGTATCCAAGAAAATTTGTAAATAATAAGATATAAATATACATATGTAGTGTGCTTGTGTGCATATGCTTGTCAGGATGTTGGGGTGTTTGTAAGTTGTGGCATATGGATGCATGGGTCGTGTTTGTAAGTGTGGTTCAATGTGTATTCAAACCACATGTATATAAGTACCGTCCCATGTATGCTTGCATGCAGACACACATTTATGTATATACCTGTATATAAAAAGTACATGGCAGACATTTCTTATTACCTTTTAAACTTAGATGTTAATGCTCATGGTAAAGTGAAAAAATTACTTACATGTATGTGCTATTTTTATTCCCATACTTTTTTATCATTTATGACTGTGCCATAGGAAAATTTTGTACTTATTTCCAGGATGTTTTTTTGTGCTCAAGATGCTTTTGAGTATGTGACTGTAATTTAAGTTAGGATTTATATAAGGGAAAAAATAGTGGGAGATGAAAGAAAGATGAGACCATTTGGGATCAAAAAATATTTACTCATGTACCTTACTATGTACAGTGGGACAGGGAAGCTGGAAAATAAATGTGAACATAGAAACGTATTCTGTTAGCAGCATTCAGGATTTTCATCTTTTATTTGTGAAGTGGATTTACCATGCAGTATGAGCCAGTGGGCTGCACTGCTAAGTAATAACAGGCTTTCTTAAAAAAAAAACAACAAAAAAAAACACTTATTTCATACAAAAATAGTAGAAAGTATGTCACCAGCAATGTGATGAAGGTGGTTTGTAAATGCTAGAAAAGGAGAAATACATGGGTTTTTTGGATTTAGAGTATATCACTTTTTTTAATTTAAATATATTTATTTTTTCTTCATTACTATTTCACTTACTTATTATAAACAATAAAAAAATACACATGATATATATAGGACAAATCAAAGAATATTATTGGTTTTTATGGGGATGTTTTTTTTCTTGTAGCTGGAAGATATTTATGAAAGCAAATACTAATTGTACATTTTACAATAGTATTCTCTGAGGAAGTTAATCAACTGTTGTTATTAGTGCATGATGCTCTTTTTTTTTATATAAAATCCTAAATCAATCAGTTCATGAAGTCATAATGATCACATTTGTACATTCATTATAATAATCACAATTATTAGAGAGAGAGGGAGTAGTTTTCCAAGATATTTTTATCTGTCCATGATCTCCCAGAAATACTCAGCAAACACGAGAGACATAAAATGCATATATTTTGAGGTCTTACGATAAATTAAATTCAGCGTTTTCAGCATTCTCATCTGAGACTCCTCTTCTCTAGCCTTTGTGTCTCTCCCTAGAACTTCCCATTTTTTTCTTCAACCACCATTGGAATCATTGATGGGAGTGTTTTATTCACCTCTGTTGAATTCTTGATTCGCCATGTTATAAATCATTCGGATTCCAGGCATTCCGGAAAGAAATAGACACAGCTGAAATAATCACAAGTCATCATTGGCAAATCTAAAATCAAGCTGGATGAACATTAACACAATTCCACGCAGCACTGTAGATATCATGAATAACAGAGACAACATGCACAAAGACACCAGTATGTACCGGTTCTCTTCTTGAAATGGACCCGAAACCCTCATGTTCATTCTCCTCCATTTTTCCCTTACTCTTATTTGCGTCCGTGTGAATATGCCCACGGATATAACGGAAAATTATTATGGTTGATGTGCACAGCAAGCCTAGTAAGATGATCTGGAAAGTGGTAAGCCACCGCAGTTCTTTATTAAATTTTCCTCCTGATATTGAAATAGGAAGTTTCAGCAAAGTGGAAAAAGTAACTTCTAAACTGCTCTTTCCATCAAACATAAAGAAGAGGGTATCCACAAAGCAGTAATCCAGATCAAGATTAGGAAGAACTTGACTCGATGAACAGTGAATAATCTTTGTAGTGAAGTGCACGGCCTGTTATTATAAATCTCTCAACACTTAGAAGGAAGAGTGTGAGAAGAGATACCAGTGAACACGTGCCAAATATTAATCCCTGAAAGATTCGGAATCCATAGGTAATTGGGATGAGCTGCTTAAATGAACATGATAAGAGTGTTTGTTTATGACCTTTAACATATTCAGAAATTAAGTAATTTTCCTGAAAGTCAGAGTACCTAATGATTGGCCTTAAATGATCAACAAAGGCTGGAATGACTACAAAGACACTAGTTAAAAGATCTGAGAAGGCGAGGGATGTACGGAATATCCTAGAAGCATCCCACTGATCACTCTTAAACATCACCACCACTATCAGCAGGTTTCCCAGCATTCCAGTTATCCCAATGCTCGCAACAAAAGCAGTAAGGATGATTTCTCCTACACGACACCAGAAGGGTAAATAATCCCAGAATACATTGAGTCCCACTGCCTCAGGGTCACCAAGCACATGGCATAATGCATTGCATAGCAACATGGAAAATGTAGATTCCCTGTAATAGCAAATTTTACCCTACTTTCATCAACAAAGAAATTCAATATGTCTTTATAATGAAGTAAGTATTGACACTTACTCTTTTTGTTCACTAGCCTCCACACTATTACTCTGATTCCATTTATATTTCTTTCAATGACTCTAAAGAACCCATTGCATATATTCTGAAAACAGTCATAATCCATTACCAAGTTCGTGTATGTTAAGAGAATCTCGAAATGCTTGTCCTCATCTGACGGTGGAGTACAACTCTGACTATGGAGAAACACAATCATCTCGTCAAAGCAGAAAGTCATGTATTTTCTCTCGATACACAAATTATTCCTCTGGAAATTAGGAAGACACATACTCACAAATGGTTCCTGACGATATATCTTCACTGAAGTTCCCGGACCTAATTGGAAAGTAGAGGGTGATGGGAAAGCTTTGTTACCATAGAGTCGCCTGTACTCACGGAAGCAGAAATAAAGTGTCTTCTTTTGAAATGGCCTAATTGCATTAGTGTTCTTGCACAGTCTCAATTTAATAAGATAATGTTTGAATGATTGTGGTTGATTTTTACAGAAATTTATCACATGTATCATGAACATAAGTTTTAGAGGTACATGCTCTTTGAAGTAAGGGATGACAATCGAGGTATTATCAGGGCTGATGTGATGTCTGACAGCTGTGGTTGGCAGATGTGAATGGTTCGAGGAAGACTGTAGGGGACTGGAAGTCTCCATTGATAATTTGGAGGGGTCTGTGGTGTTGAAGGAGGATTCATCAGTGATTTGGTGTCTTGTGATATCTGAAGTTTGAGCAGACACAAAGAGTGATAATACCACCATTGGCAGAATCCCAGTTTCTCGTCTTTTCTTTGACATCATTAACAGCATCATGACCTGTAACATAAAATGTTTGAAGTTCTCATGTAGGATAGCAAAAAATAACTTACATGTAATAAAAACAAAAGACTACCTTACTATGTGGTGAACATGCACACACAAAAACACACACACACAAAAACACACACACAAACACACACACACACAAACACACACACACACACAAACACACACACACAAACACACACACACAAACACACACACACAAACACACACACAAACACACACACACACAAACACACACACACAAACACACACACAAACACACACACACACAAACACACACACAAACACAAACACACACAAACACAAACACACACACACACACACACAAACACACACACAAACACACACACACACACACACACACACACACACACACACACACACACACACACACACACACACACACACACACACACACACACACACATACGCAAACACACACAAACACACACAAACACATACACATACGCAAACACACACAAACACACGCAAACACACACAAACACACGCAAACACACACAAACACACGCAAACACACACAAACACACACTCACTCTCTCACTCTCACTCTCACACTTACACTTACACTCACACTTACACTCACACTCACACTCACACTCACTCACACTTACACTCACACTCACTCACACTCACTCACACTCACTCACACTCACTCACACTCACACACACTCACACACACTCACACACACACACACACACACACACACACACACACACACACACACACACACACCAATCCCCCCCCCCCCAATCCCTTGCCCGTTGTTGTCGTGGGGGGGCTTAGGAGGCGGAGACTGGGACCCAATGATGGGGAACTCCCCAACCTTGGGACTCAGCCCTCGACTCAACTAATTATGCATGGTCTTTTTTTTTTCCCTTCCCACTTTTGTTTCTGTCCCTTCACCAAACCCTTCTGCTATCCACCTCCTAAGGTGTGAGAGCCGTGCTGAAAGGATGAAAGGCTGACTTTGTGCCAGTCCTGAACGGCCTGAGGGAGCCATGGGCACGGTATTCCCCTGATTTAGTTATCTAGCCCTTACCCCTCAAGGGGACCCTGAGGGGTGGACTGCTTTTATCCCCAACATAATCCAGGCTTCCCATGGCCAGCAATGAAAATATATCCCCACTGTTAGGGGCAATGAGGCTTGCCCCTTTATCAAATAGCCCCAACGAAGTAAACCCACCCGATTCCCCGACCCCAGGCTCTCCTTTGACCACGGCTCCAAACACTGCAATAACTACCCCTTCACCAATGCCTACTAGTACAGTAGCCAACAATCAACCCTCAAGGGACATTTCCACTCTCCCAGCATGCCCAACTTCAACACCTCTACCCCCACAACCTCCAACATCAACCACCCCATCCTCCCTTATTAATACCTTACAGCCTTATAGCCCACCTCTCCATAACACTACCTCCATCAACACTACTCCATCTTCGTCACGCCCTCGCCCTTCTACCACCCCTATCTCTAAAACAATCTTGAATACTCTCTTCAGTGCAGCCAAATGGGACCGATTTTTCGTGATCCCTCCCACAGCTCCCTACTCTAACAAGACCCTTCTCTTCCAACAATGCCTCCAAAAACAAGTAGGTAAAGTCTCTTTCCGTAGCCGACCCGACCGCTCCCGTCTTGTAACAGTAACATCCGAAAACCAAGCCATAGCATTAACAAAACTAACTGACCTATATGGTAACCCCATCCTAGCAGAACCCCATCCAACCCTCAATACTTGCACCGGAACAGTCTCAATCTCACCAACAAATTGCCCAATCTATGACAAAGAATGGTCAGATTGTGGAGAAGATCTACTTGCCTGTCTCACAGACTACGATGCAACATCAGTACAATGCTATTCCATCCCCCCCAGAGGTCATCGAAAGAAACCCACTAACATAGCCAAAATTACCTTCCGTAGACATGACCTTCCCTTTAACGTCTACATAGGAGGAGAATCCCTCCCTGTTCGTCCATACCAACCTCCACGTCAGTGCCAAAATTGTTGGCGTCTAGGACACCCAGCCAAACACTGCCGTTCCACAGCCAGATGCCCATTATGTGCCCAACCTGGCCATACCCGATCTAACTGCTCTGCACAATCACGCACATGTGCCAACTGTGGCGGCCCCCATAATGTATTTTATAGGGGCTGTCCCACCTACAAATTTGAATCTGAGGTAGCAGCTCTCAGATTCAAACTCGGACTCACACTGCGTGAAGCCAGACAGGAAGCACGTCGACGTGGTTTCTCTCTTACTCCTTACTCCAGTAATACTGCTCATTCTAACACTTCTCCTAAACCCACCCCTCCTACATCTAACCCCCCCACTTCTACCTCCTACCTTCCCCAGTCAAACTCTTTTGCCATCCTAAATCCAGAAACTCCAATCTCTACTACAGATACTCCAATCACCACTACAACCCCAACACCTTCCCCTCTCCCTCCTCGCACTCCCCGTAACAGACAGAACAAACGTTCCACCCCCTCTTCCCCTACCACACAATCACCCCCACCATCCTTTGCCCGTACTCTTGAGACACCAGTTCTCTCTTCCCCCCCTCACAAGAAATCCTTTATCCCCCAAAACTCCCCAACCAACTCCACAGAAGAAACTATTGAAAATATTCAAGATTACTTAATGAACTCTCAACCTACAACTCCTGCTCCTTCCACACTCCAAGTAATTGCTGATATCCATCCTCCTCCTAACGATATCCCCCCTACACCCTACCCTCCTACCCCCTCCCAACACAGCCCATCCCCCCTGACCCCAACCCAGCCCACATTAACTCTCCCACCATCCCCTCTATCCCTTCCACTCCCTCCTGGATACACACGTGAATCCCTTATGTCACAAGTATCCCCTTCCTCAGACCCTCCATCTCCTAATACCCCTCCTGATAGAACACCAACTCCCACACCTCTCCCATCTCAAACCTCTCAGTCCTTATCCCACCCTCTAGCTGCTTCCCCTTCAAATTCTCCAACACGTACTACAATCTATATCACTAAATCAACGAAAGTATAACTATCCTTCATTGGAATATTCGCGGTTTCCGCTCCCACAGACCTGACCATCATATCCTTTCCTCTTATAACCCATCTATTGTATGCCTTCAAGAAACCTTTCTTATGCATACCCTTTATCTAATATAACACACGACCTTAACCCTTTCACTCACTAATTCCTTTGCCCAGCTTAGACAACTAATTACTAACTCAACCACCCTTCACTAACATTAACTATAGTGCTACATGACCTTAGATGTCTAGCACATTTATCTTGCTTTTAACCATTAACCATTAACCACACACCAATCCCTTGCCCGTTGTTGTTGTGGGGGGGGTTAGGAGGCGGAGACTAGGACCCAATGATGGGGGAACTCCCAACCTTGGGACTCAGCCCTCGACTCAACTAATTTTGCATGGTCTTTTTTCCACTCCTACTTTTTCGTTTCTGTCCGTTCACCAATCCCTTCTACTATCCACTTCCTAAGGTGTGAGAGCCGTGCTGAAAGGATGAAAGGCTGACTTTGGGCCAGTCCTGAACGGCCTGAGGGAACCATGGGCGTATTATTCCCCTGCTTAGGCCTAGTCCTTACCCCTCAAGGGGACCCTGAGGGGTGGACTGTTTTTCTCCCCAACATACTCCAGGCTTACCATGGCCAATAATGAAAACGTAATTCCACTAGTAGGGGCAATGAGGCTTGCCCCTTCATCAAATAGCCCCAACAATTCAAATCTTCCCGATTCCCTGACCCCAGGCTCTCCTTTGACCACGGCTCCGAACACTGCAACAACTACCCCTTCCTCAGTGCCTACTAGTACAGTAGTCAACACTCAACCCCCTAGAGACATTTCTACTCTCCCAGCATGCTCAACTTCAACACCTCTCTCCCCACAACCTTCTACATAAACTACCCCATCCTCCCTTATCAATACCTTACAGCCTTATTGCCCACCTCTCCATAACACTACCTCCCTCAACACTACTCCCTCTTCGACACGCCCTGCCCTTCTACTACCCCTATCTCTACAACAATCTTAAATACTCCATTTAGCCCAGCCAAATGGGACCGATTTTTTGTGATCCCCCCCACAGCTCCCTACTCTGACAACACCCTTCTCTTCCAGCAATGTCTCCAAAAACAAGTAGGCAAAATCTCTTTCCGTAGTCGACCTGGCCGTTCCCGTCTCGTCACAGTACCATCCGAAAACCAAGCTGTAGCATTAGCAAAACTAACTGATCTATATGGTAACCCCATCCTTGCAAAACCCCATCCAACCCTCAATACTTGCACCGGAACTGTTTCTATCACCCCAGCAATTTGCCCAATCTATGACAAAGATTGGTCAGATTGTGGAGAAGACTTACTCGCCTGTCTCACAGACTATGATGCGACATCAGTACAATGCTACTCCATTCCTCCCAGAGATCATCGTAAGAAACCCACTAACATCGCCAAAATTACTTTCCGTAGACATGACCTTCCCTTTAATGTCCGACCATACCAACCTCCTCGTCAGTGCCAAAATTGTTGGCGTTTAGGACACCCAGCCAAACATTGCCGTTCCACAGCCAGATGCCCACTATGTGCCCAACCTGGCCATACTCGATCGAACTGCTCTGCACAATCACGCACATGTGCCAACTGTGGTGACCCTCGTAATGTATTTTATAGGGGCTACCCCACCTACAAATTTGAGTCTGAGGTAGCAACTTCTCAGATTCAAACTTGGACTCACACTACGTGAAGCCAGACAGGAAGCACGTCGACGAGGTTTTTCTCTTAATCCTTACTCCCCCCCAATCCCTTGCCCGTTGTTGTCGTGGGGGGGCTTAGGAGGCGGAGACTGGGACCCAATGATGGGGAACTCCCCAACCTTAGGACTCAGCCCTCGACTCAACTAATTATGCATGGTCTTTTTTTTTCCCTTCCCACTTTTGTTTCTGTCCCTTCACCAAA